CATCCAATCTTTTTGTACAATTGAGAACCAAAAATTCATCATTTCTCATATGTGTAGATGCTCTAATACAAGCCGCATCCCCTCTGTTGCATTGTACCATTTTAATAGAAGCCGCGGCTTCTAATACAGATTTTACAGTAATTAGAAATTGGGTATCAGTCAATTTAAGTTTCATGTGATAGTTGAAAACAGATAACTTATTCCATTTCCATTTTGAAGGAGGCAGGTTTAAATTGTTATTTCTGTCACTCTTTTGCTCCAAATAACCAACTTTGAGTAATGTGGATATTTGACAATGATCAGAGTATATAGTGAAATTATTAACATGAAAGTATTCAAATTCTGAAATAATATCATTGGAGGCAATAGCATAGTCTACTGTACTATTCCCATTCCAGTGATAACAAGAAAATTTTCCACATAAATCACCAGGTAATCTGCCATTTAAGATACGAATATTGCAACTTTTACAAATATCAATCAAATGTTCTCCAAAATTATTTTCCTTGTTATCCATATTACATCTATTTGTATCAGAATCTACAAAATAGTTTGAAGGAACTGGGATATGAATGGAAGTATCATGTTTGACCTAATCAGGAAGAAGACCAGTTCGGGAATTAATATCACACATAATTAGAACTGAACCATTAGAACTATAGCCAGTTATCATTTTTTCCAATTGATCAAAAAAAGACTTTGACTGATTAATTGAATTTTCTGGTGGATTATATATAAAACAAATATACAAATCTTTGTCAATATTAAAGAACTGTTTTTCTAATTTACACCAAATCATATCAGCACTGTTAGAATTAATAATTTTTATGCCTTTTTTTATTGATTTTTTACCATATGTAAAAAATACTTTATATGGAGTTGTGGTTGCATCATCACAGTATACACTAATTTTAAATACAATTACATGAATATAATATAATATAATTGGTTTTTAACTGAATAACCCACCATCATGCAATAATCGATCTAATATACAATTCATGGGGTTATCACATTACTTTCATTTTTACAATCAGGTTATAGTTGTTAACTCCTAAACCAAATGATCAAATGGTTTAAATATACATGTACATGGAATTGGGATTACTAGGCAATTCCCTATGGGATTCTTATGGTGAACAAATCTCACAATTTGTAACATGTGATAAAACATTGTTTATTGAAATACTTAAAATTCCTCAGAAGGAATTGAAATTGTTACACTAACTACTAGAACACATATTTAAAACATACAAATTTTACAAAAATTACTATCTAAAGCACAACAATGGTTTAAAAAAAAAAATGGTGATAAAAAATATGAAAAAAATGTATGCATGTACCAATAGTTATAAGATGAGTAATTATTACGGTCAGGAGGTAATTAGGAGATTATTCATATATTTATTTTATCCATTTTTCTGCAAAAAAAATTATATTTCATACAAGGTAAAAAATGACCAATGAATAATAATTTTTAAACACAAATTGTGTTGCCATCCATAATTGAACCAATATCTCCAAATGACCTTAATCTTTTTACAACCAGACTTTCTTGCCCAAATTTTTCTGCACTTTTTCTTATATTCTTCAATATTTCTGGAAATGAACCATCATTTTGGAGCCAACAGACAAAAATTGAGTCAATTTTCAGTTTTTACCCAAAGAGAAGTACCGGTACAGACTAAAAACAGGATTATTTTTTGAATTTGTGATGAAAAGAAGGAACTGGTGGTAAAATGGTTAAAAGTGAATATTGTGAAAAACAAAACTATATTTGGCTTACGTACAAAAATACAACAATGTAAAAGCAGTATTTATAAAAACAAGCAGCCTCTCGGTTGAGATAGCTCCTCAAAATTAGAGAACTAGCGATATCATCACAAAATGAACAAATCTGAGAGAGGTCTACTTGTAGTACCTATATGCATAACATAACAGCAATCTGACTTGGGGTTTTTAACAAATCAAAAATATCACTTTTTACCAAAAAAAAACAAAAATATTCATCAAAATTATAGAATTGAAGATATCATCACAAAATGAACAAATATGAGAGAGGTCCACATGTAGTACCTATACATTTATAATATCAAAGCAATCAGACTTGTGGTTTTCAACAAGAAGTTGAAAATATCACTTTTTACCAAAATGACAAAAATATTCCCCAAAATTAGAGAATTTAAGATATCATCATAAAATGAACAAATCCAAGAGAGGTCTACCCAAGGTACATATACACCAAGTATCAAAGCATTTGAAAAAATAAAAACGACTGACAAAGTCGACAGCAGAGCTAAAAATTGAAATTAATCTAAATAATCCTTATGTTGAAATTTCCATTATGCCATTCTCTTCTTAACCTTTAACCTTAATTTTTGTAGCTTCATAGTTTCTAGATGTATTATCTTCAAAATGTCTTAATTTTAGTTTGTTTTTTTGAGACCATACTGGTGTACCTTCAAATTCTGTGTCAGTGTTGTGTCAATAAAATATTATTATTATCGTTTTCAGGACCAACACGTTGTCTGTCGTGTGACAGCCTTTTATGTAAACCAAATTTAGTTTTCAAAAGTACCGTAAAATCTGTATTAGAAGCATCCAATCTTTTTGTACAATTGAGAACCAACAATTTTACAGTAATTTTTGTCCAGAAATGAGCCCATACTTTATAGATAAAAGATGCTTGTAGAATGTTTTTCTAAGCAGCTTTATCTGTACCCCAGACCATTCGTCCCGGTGTTATCGCTATCGCCACACGAGACTCCAGCTTGTCTCCTATACAATTTTCCTTCCGCCCACTTAATTTTAATATTCATATGACCTTTGCACTGACATCGATAGCCAATCGCATTCGACCGCGGACATCACTCTAAATAAACAACTGAATAAATTAATATACCATATTTGGAAGATAGCGGGTAAATTCAACGTTGTTGGTGTGTTCGTGTGTTGTTCGCACGAAACGAGTTCATGTTCCGTTATCTTTCGCAAGTAAAACAGGTCGATATGTATTAAACATGGCATTTGTTTTCTTGTTTTAACCCCCTTTTTACGCAAGCTTCCGTCGAAGTGGTGTTTTTTTCGACGATTTGTGGCATGTTGCAAAACGAATGAAACATTGCGGCATTCTTAGCGGTGGATAAGGGATCGACT